ATTACTACTGATACTACTACTACTACTACTACTACTACTACTACTGATACTACTACTACTACTACTACTACTACTACTACTACTACTACTACTACTACTTACTACTAAAACTACTTCTTCTACTACTACTACTACTACTACTGCTACTGCTACTGCTACTACTACTACTACTACTACTACTACTACTAAAACTACTTCTACTACTACTACTACTACTACTACTACTACTACTACTAAAACTACTTCTACTTCTACTACTACTACTACTACTACTACTAAAACTACTACTACTACTCCTCTTGCTATTATTACTGCTTACTGCTGCTGCTGCTGCTGCTGCTGCTGCTGCTGCTGCTGCTGCTGCTGCTGCTGCTGCTGCTTCTTCCTCCTCTTTCTGCTGCTGCTACTGCTACTTCTTCTTCTGCTACTACTGCCACTCTGCTATTTCTACTGCTACTGCTACTTCGACTTCTACTGCTACGGCTACGGCATTGGCTGCGACTTGCAGCAGCAGCAGCAGCGGCTGGGGCAAAAGCTCAAGCAAACGAAACTTTGGGGATCAAACTTAACAGCAACAACAGATGTTATCAAGGGAAGTCTTACTGCCGGGAACAATTCGAGCATCACCTCAGCCGTTTTTTTGATAAGTACTGGAAAGGCGTATTCATGCGAATAAGACAGATATCAAGAACCTTGCGAAGCTCAAGTCCGCTCGCGAACCCTGTCCACGTGGGCCACGGGGCTGCACTGCGCGATCTGGCGGGTTTCCCGCCGCCGGCTGTACGATCCACAAGTCCTTCGACATATGTGACAAAATCCCTAGCCCCTAAGCCAGGACCCTTCATGTGCGTGCCACAACCGCATTTGTTGGAAAAAGCAAGCCCCCAAACCGCGGCGCCCAAGCCTTGGCATTTTCCTCGGTGTCACTGGGCTTGGCCTGGCATGCTAGCCATGATGGGGAGCGAGTGCCAGTGATGGTTGGGGCATGGGGTGCCGAGTGCAACTTGAACGAAGACCATGGAATCTCAAAGTCATCTCGCTGTGCACCCATCCACAAGATGCAACATTGCGACCGATGGCAGTTCATGTCGCTGTCAATACCACGAAAAAAGGCAAAGCACAGACCAACCATCAATGGCGTGGCCTGGGTCCTCCGCAGCCGCGGCTCGCGCTTGTCGAAGGAGCAGCTCGCGGACAGGTGGCCGCCCAGATGCGGGTAGAAGAGGCCTTTAACCCATTCATCGAGGCTTTGGGGATTTCTGACATTGGCTGCGGGGTTTGTGCGGAAGTCAGCCGGGCCAGGGCAGTTTTCGTTCATCGCGACAGGACAGACTTGCTAACCACAGATTACCAATGACGATGCTGCTGCTCACGGCGTTGATGACGGCGCCGGCTGTGGTGAAGTGCTGATGCTGACTTGAGGTTTCAGTCTTAGCCGAATTGGCACCACACCCCAAGCCAGTGAGTACAGTTGAGAATTCTGAGAAACTAAGCTTCCGTCATGTACATCCTGAAATCCACGAGCGGGTTTTGCCAATTGCTCAAGACTAAGTAAGACTTGTCAGACTTGTGGTATGCATAAACTCCTGAACAGTTTTGGCTTTGGAGATGGAGGGTGGCGGGCCAAGATAAGGATAGCCTTGTTGCGACTTCGTGCGCACGAACCCCATCGAGAGTCTGGAACCAAGCTCACGCAATCCCATCACCCATCTCATTTTACTCATCTTAAACCTTAACCACGTGAACTGCAAAGACAATCCTCGGACCGTGCACTGGCTCTTTCCTGGCGGCTTGATTGGAGCTCGCCCTAAACCCTAAACTTTAAACCCTAAACCCGAAAACCTTTTCTGCGCCGGCTTGCGTGAATCCCGCCTGGACCTGTCGCCGAAAACCAAAACCCTAAACCCGAAACCCTAAACCCTAGGCCCGAAACCCGAAATCCCAAACCCCAAACCCTAAACCCATCAATCTCAGAAGGGCGCGAATGGTGTCGGGATATGTCAGCGCCATCTCCGTAGATTGGACGCCGACCTGCCAAGGGCCCAGGCCAGGGCTGCCTTACACTCTTGCTGATGATGCTTCTCAAATATATATATATATATATATATATATATGTGTGTGTGTGTGTGTGCGTGTATATACGTATAATATGTATATCTATATATATATATATATCGATATGGAGAGATCATAGATATATATATATATACATACATATACAGATTAGATTAGATTAGATTAGATTAGATTAGGTTAGATTAGATTAGATTAGATTAGATTAGATTAGATTAGATTAGATTAGATTAGATTAGATTAGATTAGATTAGATTAGATTAGATTAGATTAGACAGAAAGAAAGATAGATTTATAGGTAGATAGATAAAAA